CCCTGGGGGGTGATTTCTCGCTTTCTGTCTCTATGTCTCTCTCTGTCTGTCTGGTGAGCGCACGCGCCCTACAATGAAAATCTCTCAAAAAAAATTATTTTGTCTAACTTTATCTATCTATCTATCTATTTATTTATTTAATTTGACCAGAGAGGGACAGAGCTAGAGAGAGAGAGAGAGAGAAAGTGAAAAGGCAAGCTGCCAGGTCCAGGACTCGAACACAGTTAGCTATGTGGGAGTCCAGTACCCTTAACCACCATGCCACCTGCTGGCCCCCTTAATTTTTTCTTTAAGAGGCTTTTTGCAGGACCAGCAGGTGGTGTGGTGGTTGAAGAGCTAAACACTCCCATATGGCGGACCACAGTTTGAGCCCCTGACCTGGTGGCTTGCTGTCTCACTTTCGCTCTCTGGTCAAATTAAATAGTAATAATAATAATAATGATAAATGAAACTAAATAATTCTTTAAAAAATAAAAGATAATCAGTATGTGACCACGTGGAGCTGGATATTATTCTAGCCAATACAAAGACATGGGCTTGGTTTTTGGTAGACTGATTTTTTTTTTAATATTGGAGCTGATCTGCAATCCCCCAGCATCTCTAAAGGTCTTTCCCGATGTTTAAGTACACCGGAAACCCAGGAGGAGCCATTCACTAAATTCTTGTCACAGAAGGGGCCTGACCAGGTGGACCTTTCACAGCCATGGCTATGAGTTCCTTGAAAACAGAGCAAAGAAAGACGACCCAGAGGACCAACTATTTTCTCGGCCACAGATATTAACTAGGACCTGCAGCCAGTCTTGTCCCTCCCTTCCAAGTTTAGTCCACATGCTGCCCAAGCCAGCGCCAACCGGAACCTGCGCACGCGGCGTTCGCTGAGGTCACGGTTCGATCCTCAGCACACGCCTGGGCCAGTCCCAGCTCCCACGGAGATCCGCGAGGGGCTGAGCGGTCGCGCCAGCAAACGCTGTGTTCGCAGATGGCAGAAGAGCCCAGAGGGGCAGAGTCGGTCCTGACTAAGCTTATCCAACCGCCACCAAGGCCGGGCACCTAACCCCGTGCTAACCTGCAACCTGCAGGGTCACGGTGCCCTCCAGAGTCAGGTTCGCGATCTGGATCTGGCATCGGTATGGCCCTCGGTCCTCCAGGCGCACGTCGCGGATCAGCAGGGCGACCCTTCCCTCTCGGTCGTCTCTCACCAGCGCCGTCCTGCCCTTATACGCCGGCATCACGCCTTCATCCCAGTCCTTCGCGTCCCGGAACACGTGAACAGCCAGGGAGCGCTGCGGGGCCGGGGACCGCAGCCACCTCACCTCCACCGGCGCCTGCACTGGCCAGAGCGGGAGCGGGCAGAGCAGCTCGGCGGTGCCCCCTAGCGGGGCCGTGTGGAACTTGCTGTTGTCCCCTGCGGGGCGCGGACAAAAGAGACAACGCGATCTGCGGGGCGGGGCGGGAGGGGTGCGGGAGAAGGAGTATGGGGAAGGACCCAGCCCGGGAAGGGCACTGGGCAGGACTAGGGGACGACAGAACCCCAAGAGAAATAAGGTCCCTGGCCAGCTCCCTACTCTGCAGCCAGCATCAAACGTCCTGCCCTGGAGAGAAGCTCGGACACTCTTACCTGACCCGTGGGCAGGCAGCTGGAGCAGGATGACCGTGAAGAGGCAGCGACAGCGCCAGGACGCAGAGGAACCTGCCATCTCCACCCGGGCTAGGACAGAACACAGGGAGGCACCTGAGAGGGCGGGTGAGCGTGATGTGAGAGGCGGACGTGGGCGCGGGCCCAGGTTCCATTCCCAGCGCTGCTACTTGCGCCTGCAACATTGTGACCGAACGTCTCTTCAAACCCGCACAGTACCCAGGCCTCCGGCAGGATGACCGCGAGGTCTGCAGGACGCCGGTGCACACGCCAAGGCTGGCCTCCTGGTTATGTCTGTAAACGCCCAGAGTGAGGAGGTTGGAGGGGGTGGAATGACCCCAGGGTAAGACGCTGAGTGTGACCTAGAGAGCATAGGAGGTGTCTGGAAGAATGGGAACTTACACCCAAACTAACCACGAAAGCACCTGTACTGGCCTCTTTTTGCATTTAGTGTCCAAGACCAGACTTGGGAAGTGCCTGTTTCAAGCTAATCTTCATCCACCATGTGGTCTGGAGGTCTTCCTTGGCATTTTAAGTTTGACTCTTAAAAAAAAAAAATTATTTATTGAGGCCAGCAGGTGGCATGGTGGTTAAGGACGCTGGACTCCCACATTGCCTACTGTGGTTCCAGTCTCCAACCTGGAGGCTTGCTTTCTCACTCTCACTTTCTTGCTCTCACTCTCAACCTGTCCCTCTCAGGTCATGTTAACATAAATAAGTAAATAAATAAAGTTAAAATAAAATGATTCTTTTTAAAAAAAAAATGGACACTGGACTCCCATATGACCTACTGCAGTTTGAGTCCTGGACCTGGTGGCTTGCTTTCTCACTTTCCTTTTCTCTCTCTCTCTCTCTCTCTCTGTTTCTCACTCTCGCTCTCGCTCTATCTCTCTCTCTGGTCAAATTAAAATAAATGAAAAAGTAAATAAAGTTTTTGAGAGGTTTTTGTGATAGGGCGCGTATGCTCACCAGACAGACAGAGAGAGAGACAGAGAGACAGAAAGCGAGAAATCACCTCCCGGGGGGATGGTCACACCGCAATCCCTTCTCCTTCATTCTCCTCTCTGGATCTTGGGCACGCACGCACACGTGCCCGGCGTGAGTTTAAGCCACCGGGACTGGGACACGAACCGCAGTTGACTACATGGGAGTCCAGCGACATAGCCATTACGCTAACTGCTGGTCCCAGGTAGAACAATCTTTAACAGGATTTGGGGACTTTTCACTAAATCCGAAACAATAAGTTAAAAAAAAAAAAAAAAAAACCTTTTAAATAAGTTTCAATTTAGAGAGAAAATGCTAACAGCAACAACAAAAAGAGACAAGAATATAGATCAGAGAGGGCCACTTCTGGGGCAAGGATGGGGACAAGAGGTAAACTTTGTGGCTTTCCTTATGTATTTTCTATTGCAGTAGCCAAAGTTTCTGCCCTGAACATGGCTTTATCAGAAAACAGAGGCATTGAAGGAGGAGGAAGATGACCAGGAAGAGAAGGGAAAGGAGAAGAAAGAGCTCACACTGAGCAAAGACATGTGTAGCCCCGGAATCAAAGCAGCAGAACCAGAAGTCAGCCCCAGCCACTCTGGCCTCGCCCTCGGAGCTCTGCGTAGACACCAAGCACTGCTGCTGGATCTCTGATCACACACTCTTACGTGGCCGCAAGAACCATCTGGTCACCATGCTGATCTGCAGGGCTATTCGGGCTGGCCAGGATGGCCCCTGCCTCCATCAGATCCTCATCTAATAATTTATATATACACATGCATATATGTGTACATATATACACACACACATGTATAAAATGCATATATGTATCCTCATTTAATAATTTATATATGTATACGTGTGTGTGTATATACATACACACTACATATAAAGTGTATATATGTATACATAACCAGTATATATAAAAGTATAAGTATAAGATATATATAAGTTTAAAATATATATGTATATATACACACACACATATATAAAATGTATATATGTATATATAACCGGTATTGTATTATAGTGATGAACTTAATGTCAATATGTGATTGAATTAACACTAAATCATAAATATACTTTAAACTCGTAACATTGCTTTATATTAATAACAGCTCCCATGTCTTGCACATGTAGGCGCTGTACTACACTGTTTTGGCACTGACAACAACCTGAAAAGTAGATAGTATTGTCTTCTCTTACCCTTGGAAAAGGAAAGGCTCTCATACACTTCAGGGCACTGTGCAAGCTAATGGCAAGGACCTTTCTGGAAGCAGGAAGAATGTAAGACATGCAGAAGTAGAGGGACGGATGAGCAGCTCAGTACGATGAGTTACAAAACGGGCAGATTCCTTTATGAAAACTTTCCTCTAAAATACATACACATATAGGTGTTATGTATATGAGATTTCACCTCCTATGGCTCAATGCACATGCCACAAATTTGATATTCTGTCTGTCCTATTTATTGTAAGAAAATCTGAAAATATCCCTTTAAAAAAATGACAAAAATGTTAAATCATCTGTAATTTGTCCACCCAGCAATATTTTTCCAAACTTTTTCCTATGCATGCATATAATTTTGTAAAACACAGGACCCTACATACATACTGTTTTGATACCTGATGTTTTCACCAAGCGCTGCAGTCTGTGTATTTCCCAATGCCACTAAATATTCTTTTTTTTGGGGGGGGCGGTTTGCTTTAGGGAACGTGGACTCACCGGAAAGACAGAGAGAGACAGAGAGACTGAAAGCGAGAAACCATCTCCCAGGGGCGATGGCCATGCCGCAATCCCTTCTCCTCTATTCTCCTTTGGGGATCTTGGGCACGCACACATGCATGCACACACACCCAGTGTGAATTTAAGTCACTGGGTCCAGGACTCGAACTGTGGTGGACTACATGGGAGTCCAGCGACATAGCCATTACACCAACTGCTGGTCCCTAAATATTCTTTTAATGACTTGAGTGTTCTATCATGGATACATGAGGATTTAAAAAATAATTCTATATTATTTGGGGACCAGCAGATGACGTAGTGGTTATGTCTCTGGACTCTCACATGGTTGACCATGGTTAGAGTCCTGGACCCGGTTGCTTGAAATTCACGCTAGGCATGTGTGCATGCATGCCCAAAATCCCGAGAGGAGAATGAACCTGAGTGGCCATACTCTTGTGGAGTGATTTCTCACTTGGTCTCTCTATCTTCCTCTGTCCCTCTGGCAAACACACACACCCTATAACAAAACTCTCTAAAAAGTATTCTATATTATTTTATTGGGATACTTATTTGGATATCATCAGGACATTCAGGTTGTTTTCCAATGCATTGCTGTAACGCACATTGCAACATAGCACATAGATTGAGGGCTAGAATCAGAAGGGTTAATCCTAGTTTTGGCTTGGTCCCTAGCTAGCTGTATAACCTTGTAAAGCGAAGCAAACTACTTAAACTCTTACCACTTGAGTTTCTCATCCTTAAAAGAGGAAGACTTTGGGACCAGCAGTTAGTGTAATGGCTATGTCACTGGACTCGCACGTAGTCGACCGCGGTTCGTGTCCCGGACACGGGGGCCTAAACTCACGCCAGGCGTGTGTGCGTGCGTGCCCAGGATCCCGAGAGGAGAATGGAGGAGAAGGGATTGCGGTGTGGCCATCCCCCCGGGCGGTGATTTCTCTCTTTATGTCTCTCTGTCTCTCTCTGTCTTTCTGAGGAGCGCACGCGCCCTATAGCAAAAACCTCTCCAAAAAAAAGAGGAAGACTTCATTTCACTGCCAAATCGCTCTCCAAAAACAGCATACCAATTTACTGAAGTACATGAAATTGCTTGCTTTCCCACGACCTTGCCATCCGTGAATATTATCATTCTTTAAACCTTTGTCAATTTGTTGAGTAACAAAATTATATCTCTTTAAAAAAACAAACAAACAAACAAACTGTGAAGTTTCATCTTAGCTTGTAAACTTCTTTGATTTCTCACTTATTTGGACTTCGTCAATTACCTGTCTATGTACTTCGCTACTTCTTGGGGTGGGTCATTTGTCTCTTAGTTACTTACAACGTTCTTTATACAGTAGCCATTCTTTTCCCACTACACCTGTTGGAGATATTGCCTCCAACAGGCAGTCACTTACATATTAGTTAGAAACAGTTTAATTTTTTAAATTCTAAATCAGAAAACAACAATTGCAACAAACATTCCCTTTGCAATCACAAGCAATTTCAGAAGACCCTACAAACCTACAAACCTACAAACCACCGGCCTGAAAGCACACACACAGGACACAGTCAAAGGAAGAGCTGAATACACATTAGCTGTAAGTAATAAGATGACAATCGTTAAATAAGAATCTTCAGACAAAAGTCATCCAGCTCTCTTGTCGCTTGTCTTCTTTTCATGGTCCGTAAGTGTCTATTAACTGTTCATGAGTAAAGAGAAAGGGGACTATTTCTCTACCAAACCTGAAGGAACTGAGAAAGTTAAAGAACTGGAAAATAAATAAATAAATGAGAGAGAGAGAGAAAGAAAGAAGAAAGAGAGAGAGAGAGAAAGAAAGAAGAGAAATAAAAGAAAAGAAAAATGAAGAGAAAAGAAAAGAAAGAAAAATGAAGCGCGGGGAGAGAACTCACCACTTTTGGAATCAGGGACCCTCATCCGTCACTGACAGAACCAGTCTCCACGCTGGGAACACCCCTCCTCCGTGCAGAATCATCGGTCATCGGGAAGGAGCGTCAGGAGGGGCTCCGGGCACATCTGGGAAGAGTTCGTGTTTTATTCTAAAGCTGGAAAACCGAAGCCAGGGGTTCCCCGTGCCCCACAGACTCCCTTCTAGCTGTCACTGTAAGCCAGCAAGCCACACCCTGCCTGTCTGTCCCTGATAAAGAAACAGAGCAAAAAAGTGTCTCCTTAAGAGGAGGGAGCCACCAACTGCCTTTTTTTTCTTTCCCTCGAATGTCACCCCCAGGAAATGTTACCCCTTTGCATCCTTTATGGATGCTCCCCTTTGCTTTTCAAATCAGAGTTCATTGGAAGATTGGTTTCAAAGACACCCACCAATTTGCCACCTTCTTGAACTCACTACCTTTATCTCCGGCCACACCCTGAGTGTGTTCTCTGACAAACTTGCTTACTGCCCCTCAACGAGTGATTAAAAACCCTTTCTGCCTGTCTTGCTTTAATAACACCCATAACTGTACATTCGTAGTAGCTGTAATTTTATCCTTAACAATGCATTCTATACATTTATTATTTTAATTTCTCTTTTTAAAGAATTATTTATTTAACTTTATTTATTCATTCACTTATTTTAATTTGCTCAAAGAGAGACACACATACAGAGAGAGAGGGAAAGTCAGAAAGCAAGCCACCAGGTCTGGGACTCAAACTGAGGTCAGTCATGTGGGAGTGTCCAGCGTCTTAACCCCCATGCCACCTGCTGACCCACATTTATGATTTTGAACTTTATAAAGGTGGAGCCCATTAAACATACTTCCCTGTTACTTCTTTTTGTCACTCAACATTAGTTCCTGTGTCTAGCAGACACCTGTGAGGCCCACACCATGTCCCCTCAGCCTACCCAATTCTGACGTAGCTGCCTTGCAGGCAAGCTGTCAGGATGCCACCTCACAAGCACTGGCACCTTTGCCTCCTGTCTCCAGGCTCTCTACAAAGCCTTAGAAACTTGGGGCCTGGAGTAGCAGATGGCATAGCGGTCACATTGATGGATTCCCACACTGCCAACCGCAGCTCCAATCTTGGACCTGGTGATTTAAAACTCACGCCAGGCATGTGTGCATGCATGCCCAAGATCCCAGGAAGAGAATGAAGAAGGGATTGCAGTGTGGCCATCCCCCCAGGGGGTGATTTTGATTTCTCACTTTCTGTCTCCCTGTCTCTCTCTGTTTCTCTGGTAAGTGCACATACTCTGTAGCAAAAAAAATCTCTCCCCCCAAAAAAGGAGATAAAATTGGGGCCAGCAGGTGGCACAGTGGGTAAGCCGCTGGCCTGCCGCATAGTCCACTGCAGTTTGAGTCCCGGACCTGGTGGTTTGAATTCACACTGGGCATGTGTGCGTGCGTGCCCAAACTCCCAAGAGGAGGATGGAGGAGAGGGGATTGCGGCATGGCCAAGCTCCTTGGGGGTGATTTCTAGCTTTCTGTCTCTCTCTCTCTCCAGCAAACGCACGTGCCCTATAGCAAACACCTCTAGACAAAGAAGAAGAAAGCTGGTCAGCCCAGGAGCTCACCAAGTTAATGCCTGGGATCATCAGCTCAGTGATGGGAGTCAGTGGAAAATGCTCCTTCATCCCTTCAGAGGGTCTGTTCTGAGCAGCGTCTGCATGATTCCTCTGAGAGGCCCAGTGGGATTGAGCACAGTAGCCCACAGTCATAAATAGCTCAGAAATGCACATTTTGTTGCCTTTTCTTCCTTTTTTGCTCACTTCTCATTTCTGCTTCCAGGAATCACCTTTTAAATAAACTCTTGTACCAAATGGCTCTGCCTTCGGGAGTACAAAAGACTGAAATCCATCCAGGTGACTGCAGAGTCCTCGCACACTCATTCACTGCTGTGTGGTAGGCCATTGTGTGAGATACCGACAGTTTCTCCGATCTTTTGTTGATGGGAACGTGGGCTGTCTCTGGGCTTTTGTTTTTACGTACACCACTGCTGTGAACGTCCTCACTGCTGTGAACGTCCTTGAGAAAGGCTTTGTGGTTCTCTAGAGCAGCAGTTCTCCATGTGTGGTCCATAATCCTGGGAGTCCCTGAAGACCTGCTAGGAGATCTACATCCATAATAACACCAGCAAACTTAAAAAGAGTTCATGGGAAAATGGGATAAAGTACACATTTGTTTTGATACAAAAAGCTTTTTAAATCCATGCATACTTTTTTGATAGTAAGCATGTTCATATATGCAAATTTTCATATATCTCTTTTCTATTTCTGTGAAAAATGTCACAGGCAATTGGATCTGAATTGCGTTGACTATATAAATTAATGTGGGCAGCACGGACATTTTTTTTTTTTTTGAGAGGTTTTCGCTATAGGGCGCGTACGCTCGCCAGACAAACAGAGAGAGACAGAGAGATAGAAAGCGAGAAATCACCTCCCAGAGGGGATGGCCACGCCGCAATCCCTTCTCCTCCATTCTCCTCTTGGGATCTTGGACACACACGAACACACACCCGGCATGAGTTTAAGCCACCAGGTCCAGGAATCGAACCACGGTTGACTACGTGGGAGTCCAGTGACATAGCCATTATGCTAACTGCTGGTCCCAGCATTGACATTTTGATGATATTGATTCTTTCAATCCAAGAACATGGGATTTCTTTCCCTTTTTTGGTGTCATATTCAGTTTCTTTTTTCAGTTTGTCATAGTTTTTCTTGCAGAGATCTTTCACCTCTTTGGTTAGGTTTATTCTCAGGGATCTTATTTATTTTGTAGCTATTGTCAATGAGATTGCTTTCTTCAATTCCGTCTCAGTGTTTCATAGCGTATAAAAAAATCATGAAAAAGGACAATTCAAATGTAAGGAAATCGGTGCAGTCTCTGTGGCACAGCTGTTGATTACTAAGATGCAGTGCTGGGAGCCATATGGCTGACCACGGGTTCGGGTCCCTGGCCGAGTCACCTTGAAACTCACCAGGCATACATGTGCATGTCTGAGATCCCCACAAGCTGGAGGGCTGGGGAAAGGTCATCGTGACATGACAAGACTGTCGTGCTTCTCTCTCTTCCTCTCTTGTGCATCCTCAGTTGCCCTCCACCATGAATAACGTAAGGAACCTTGAGAACAGATAAGGAAATGGATCACAGAAACTTTTCCCAGAATTGCAGAGTATGTTCCTGATTGGAAGGGGTCATTGAGTGCCTAACAAAATGAATAAAAAAGGTTTACAGAACACATCAGTATAGAAGTTCAGAACATCGAGAATAAAGCAGAAGGGAGCAGCTCTGAAGTGGAGATGGGAGGCGTGATGGTTTACATCTCGAACAAATGAGTATTGGACGCCGGAGTTAGTCCCCATCGAGGTTATCTTTGATAACAGATTTTTTTTCCTGGGGAATAGCCGAGTTTGTAGTTTTATTTTTCAAAACTCTGCTTCCACAAGACCTGAAAAAGAGAAGAGGCTATGGAAGCTCATCTGATTCCAGATGTGATGATGAAAGAGGGCCCCCCGGAAACTCTCCCCAAAGAATGGGTCAGATCAGTCATGGCCCCAGTCGTCCTCCAATGTCTGGTGGACGAGGAAGGTGAACGTCTGCTCTAAGAAGCAGACAACTGGGCGTGCGCTTTCATAAGCAGGAGGAAGTCATCAGGAAGGAGAGGTCTGAGCACGCCAGGCAAGTTAGATGAGTGTGCCTGTCTGAACGAGGACTGCTCTGTGTCCTCACAGATGAGTGAGGTCATGCTGGGAATCCCCCCTGCAGGGCTCTGGCCCAACTGATAACGCAGTTCTATAAATGCACATGTTTGTCTCATATCTTTTTGTATAGTTGAGTAAAGTATTGATAGTTTTGTTTTTCAAAAATAATTATTTATTTATTATTAATATTATTTTTTCACATGAGTTTTGTCAGAGAAAGACAGAGAGAGGGAGAGTGAGAAAGCAAGCTGCCAGGTCCACGACACAAACCATGGCCAGCCATGTGGGAATTCCAACAACTTAACCATCATGCCACCTGCTGGCCCAGTATTGATAGTTTTAATAAGTAAATATTTTTAGGTTGCAAAAAAAAAAGAAGAAGAAAGGGAAAAGGGCGGGCAAGTGGCATGGTGGTTAAAGCACTGGACTTCCACATAGCCAACCAAGGTTTAAGTTCCACATTGGATGGCTAGCTTTCTCATTTTCCCTCTCTATCTCTCTCTGGTCAAATTTAAAATAATAATAATAATGATAAATAAAATAAAATAGTTCTTTAAAAAAAAAAAAGGGGGGGGGATATCCCTAAAAGCCTCCAGAAACGGGACCAGCAGCTAGCGTAATGGCTATGTCGCTGGACTCCCACGTAGTCGATCGCGGTTTGCATCCCGGACCCGGTGGCTTAAAACTCACGCCGGGCGCGTGTGCGTGCATGCCCAAGATCCCTAGAGGAGAATGGAGGAGAAGGGATTGTGGCGTGGCCATCCCCCCTGGGGGGTGATTTCTTGTTTTCTATCTCTCTGTCTCTCTCTCTCTGTCTGGCGAGCGCATGCGCCCTATAGCAAAAACCTCTCCAAAAAAAAAAAAAAAAAAAGCTTCCAGAAACAAAATTTACCTAAAAGAAGTAATGATAAATCAGACTTCTTGGGAGTTCAGTCATATAAGAAGCTAGGTCAATGCCTTTAAACTTGTGAGGGAAAATAATTTCAACCTGAAATATCTGTCAATCAAGAAATTTTTGTTGTAAGGTGCATACACTCACTAGAGAGACAGAGAGAGACAGAAAGAGAGAAATCACCCCCAGGGGGAATGGCCATACTGCAATTCCTTCTCCTAGATTCTCCTCTTGGGATTTTGGGCACATATGCTTACGTGCCAGGCAGGAGTTTTAAGCTTCCATCCTCTTGGGATTTTGGGCACATATGCTCATGTGCCAGGCAGGAGTTATAAGCCTCCAGGTCCAGGACTCGAACCGTAGTCAACTACATGGGAGTCCAGTGACAACCATTATGCCATGGGCTGGTCCCAATAAAGTCATTCTTGGGCAAGCAAAGACTCAAAAGTTTACATCCCATAAACCCCTATAGCATGCACTCAAGAGCAAAAAATCTCTCTCAAAAAAAAAATTAAGTACATTTAAAATATAGACAACATTCTTTATTTTGATTTTTTGGCTATAGTGCACATGCACTTGTATGAGAGAGACAGAAAGAGGTAGAAAGAAGGAAAGTGAGAAATAACCCCCCAGGGAGGATGGCCACATGTGGTCCCTCCTCTTGCATTCTTCTTTTGGAGTTTTGGGCACACTAGCACAGGCGCCTGGCGCATTCTTCAAGCTGGGTTTGGGGCTCCAACTGTGCTGTTGGCCATGTGGGATCCAGCCACCTTCACCACCATTCCACCAGCTGGGCCCAGAGTTACGCTCATTTTTAAGACTTTTGATATTTATAGTACTAAATTGGCCTCCAAAAAGGTTGTAACAATTTGTGTTTTTGTTTATTTTTTTCAGAGGTTTTTGCCCTAGGGTGCGTGCACTGGTCAGCGAGACAGACACAGTGAGAGGGAAAGTGAGAAATCACCCCGTAGGTATATGGTCATGCCACAATCCCCTCTCCTTCTCTCTCTTCCCGGGATCTTGGGCACACACACACACCTGGAATGGCCCTCAAGCCACCAGGTCCATGACTCAAACCGCTGTTGGCCATGTGGGAGTCCGGCGACAATCACTATGCCATCTGCTGGCCCCATGATTTGTGTTTTTATTAGAAGTGCTGAATGTCCATCTTGGCTATTCATTCACCGCCTGCTTTGGGTCCATCATTTGTCTCAAATCTTGCCAGTTTGGTAAAGGAACAAAGGTAGGGCCTGAACATGCTTGCACTAGCCAGGTCATTGCCCCGTGAATCCCGGCAGTGGCACTTACTAGTTAAGTGACCGTGGACAAGTCCCTTAATCCTCAGTGCCTCTGTTCCTTTGTTGCTGGACAAGGGAACCGAGTTGTGTTAAATACCTGGTTCTTTGGGTCCAGATCTCTAAGGTTAGATTCTGCCCTAAGATGCAGAATTAAAAACCACGAACACATGTAAAGTAGGAAAAGAAAAACTTTAATAGAAAAGAGAAGGTTTTTTCTAGGAGATCTATTTTTTAAATATTTAAATATTTATTTAATTCCATTTGTTGCTGTTGTTATTATTATTTCACTTGACTAGAGAGGGGACGAGCAGTGTAATAGCTATGCTGCTGGACTCCCTTGGAGTCGACTGCGGTTCGTGTCCCAGACCCAGTGGCTTAAACTCACACTGGGCGTGTGTGCATGCATGCCCAAGATCCTGAGAGGAGAATGGAAGAGAAGGGATTGTGGCATGACCATCCCCCCTGGCGGGTGATTTCTCGCTTTCTTTCTGTTCCTCTCTGTCTTTCTGGTGAGCTCATGCACCCTATAGCAAAAACCTCTCAAAAAAAAAAAAAAA